AGAGAAGAATTTATTAGTTCCTGGGCAGTGACTAATTTTGGGTATCTAATTACAACATTAGGGTATGTAAAACCCATACCTGTCCTGCAAATTTTCTTTCTGTTATGTAGCATACTAAGTTACTTTCCAGAGGACCAGCAAGCTTGCTTTCCCAAATGAAAGTCTTGTGTCTGGAGTTTTGTTTCTGCTGTTTTAGAATGCTCCAACACATGTGATTTTCCTTTAATACCACCCCCGGATGCTGGTTTTAATTTCTTCCTGGGGATTTCTTATGATTGTTTCTTTCTCTGAGGAGTAGGAGGTAAAGGAGGAGAAGAAACAAAAGAGGAGGGCATTTCTTTTTCTTTTCTTGATCTTTATTTGGGCAGTGTCAGCAAGAGTGGTGTACTCATCTAAGTAATTAATTTTACATCATATATTTCTCTGATTTTAAATTGAACCTAAGAATATCACAGCTTTTCACACATACTGCATGACAACCTGTAATAATTAAGCCTATGCAGTTGCCCTTATCCTGTTATATTACTTTATATTATATATATGGGGGTTTTTTTCTGAATCAAATATTTTATTAGTTGATTTGATCTGTGAGTTGTATGTGAAAATGTGGAAGTTAGAATGGAAGCTAAAAAGCACAGGGAAATAAATACCTGGTTTGCACTTCCCTTGGCAATTTCAGCATACCAATTCACAGATACATATATTTTGTGTGGAATTTTTTTTTATGATTTCTGTTTTCAATTAATGTTTTCTTTAAGTCAACTGTCTTGAACCGTATTAACTGGAATTCTTTCACAGAAATTGTACTGTTGGCTGTTTTATGCACACATGTTTGAATGTCTGAAAGAAAAATAGACTGAGATAAATTTGGTGCCTCATTTTTTTGTGTACAGTCCCAAAGACCAACTCTACCAGCCTTGGGAAAAGAGAATAGAGAATATAGATGAATCATTTCCCTTCATCTACCTAGAAATTTCACTTTCTTCTGCCAATTACCAGAGGTCCATAGGAGTACTGTATATTCTCTTGGCAATTTATCAACCTGTTCTTCAGAAGGATAAAACAAAAAATAACATCCAATTTTTCTTTCTGATACTAGCCCTGTCTTTCATCTCCAGGTCAATACACCATTCTGCAGTGCTGAAGTATATAACACTGGAAATAGACTAAGCAAAGGCAATGCAGGAAGAAAGAAACATTTTCCTCGCTGATTATTTATAGCTAAATAATAATGTTGATTTGAAGGTAGTTGGATTTTGATAATGGAAGAATTTGTTCTGACAGGGGTGAAGTCTAGAGGGCAGAGTGCTGAAGAAGTCAGAAAGTATACAAGAAATGCAATTTATTACAAGTTCCATAACTAATTATCATTGCGTCACCATGGGACTGAAAAGGGTCCCTGAGGGACGTGACAAAAGATGTGTAGAGCTGTGCTGATTGTGCATCTGCAAAACTGAAGCATTCAGATGAATTCAAATATGTGGTCAGTTTGATTATGGGAGACAGGGGACACTGAGATTCGGGACAAGTCTCCGCCGCTAAGGATGCATCTCCTCATGATGGTGAAGCATACACATTTTGCATCACTGTACTCATAGTGGTTTCCTGGGAATTCATTATAGTGACTTGCTGCCACACTAAGCAGTAACTGTTCTGCTGTAATGATTTCCAGCAATGCTTGTGGAACTTCCACACCTCATCTTATTTAATTATTTATTTTGATTTTAACTCACTCTAACAGTCTCTTGAGACATACAATTCATTTTCTTGAGGGCTCCTAGGGTACAGCAATAATACAAGTCTACTCTGCAGTTGCATACATCATTATAACAAAAAACATAAAGCAGGACGCTTAATCTGAAGTTGCAGACAAAAGCACTGAGCAGTGAGCATCTCAGTATGTTAGCTTAAGGCAACAGTTTAAGGGATTTCAGAAAGTTCAGTCCTTTTTCTTTAGTCACTCACAGTTCAGGTTTGTCTATTCTTTGCTTTACTGTCTGTTCTGTGTTAACTATTCAAGATCTTTCCATCCGTACTTCCCCCTGTAGACAAACTTTTCTGCCTTCATGGTAGAGTTGAGGTTTCTTTGGGGGGATTGGGGGTGGGGTGGGCGGTGTAGGGCGTTAATGAAAGTTTATGCTAGACTTTTAGTAGGAGGGTGCTGGGTAAGTAAGAATGAGGACCTTTGTACTGAGCATTAATTAGGTTTTGGTTTTAAAAGATGTTTACCAGAGCAAAAACACTTTAAAAAATCTTCAATAAAAATCTTTCCCTTTTTTAATTATTGAATTTGTCATAGTGGAAATGATTCTCCAGCCTTCACGCACAATTCAAGAACTGTTAAGGCCTGAATTTCTAAGTATGATTATAGCAGGAAGTAGATGCCATTGTAATCTTTCTTTTTTATTATTATTATTGTTTTAGAAAATATTTGTTCAGAATAATGAATTTTAAAGCTTTAATTTGTGGGGCAGGTGCTTAACAGTTACTCTCTGAATTGAGTTAAATAACATAGTGGTTTTGGCAAAATGTAAATTCAGTGCCTTCTAGATAATGTTAATGCTAACAAGAACAAATATTTTTGAGATTAAGAAGCTCTTCATTGTTTGCAGCTTTTTTCTCTGATTTGTTTGGTCATACATGACCCAGACTGTAAAATAACACAGTTTATAGGCTCCATCTTGTTGGATTTTTTTTTTTTTTTTTTTTTTTTTT